TTTGGCAACATATCTCCTCTGTACATACCTGAGAATCTACTGCAAAGCATTATACCTTTCTCAAATGGGACTATTTTGTTTATGCCAATTAAAACATTAAATAACATTCTAGTAAAACACATCATTGGCCTATAGATATAAACCTTAATGTGTACAAAAATCACCTCAGAGAGCTGGTTTACAGTACATGTTTCTGTGTACATCCTTAAGGATCAAGATTCATTAAGTCTGGGGAAGGGTCTAAAATAAAATCTACTTTTTTTTTTAAGCTATCACTATGTAGCCTAGGCTAGCTTTAAATTCACAATATTCCTGTCTTGGCCCACCTAGTGTTGGGATTACAGACATGTCACACTAGATATGACATAAATCTACCCTTCAGTGACATAAGTCATTCTCAGTTCACAGGTTGAGGAATAGTGCCATGGACCTTATCTCCAACTGCCAGTTCTCAAAGTAGCGTCCTTTACATTCTTGTTCACTTCATGCTAAGACATATGAGCTAGGCCTTGGAGATGCTCTGGTGTAGATGGAAAGAAGCATAATGCTTATGAAAGGAGTCCTGGTCAGGTAAAGCTCTGCTGCTAACAACTTCAGAAACATGTAGAATCGCTTGAAATTTTGTGGATCTTTGTTACTTCATACTTAATATAAAATGAAGAGTTCCTAAAATCCAAGACCTATGATTTTATTTAGCACGAGAAAGCCAATTGTTAACATAAGAAACCACAGAGATTAAACATTTTGGTGTTGAGATGTAAGTGGCAGGATTTAGTTTCTTTATTAATTGATAACAGCAAAATATCATGGGTCTGGAAGAAGAAAATGGGTTCCCAAAGATGGAAGCAGCTATAACTTTAGTTTTATCTTTGAGGCAATTCAGTTGTTTGCTTAGCAACCAGTTCCTTCAATCAGGTGATTGCATCTATGCCCAGGAATACTTCCAGTATAATATATTAAATCCTACAAATCAAGTTATTGTCCAATCATCCATTCTATTTCCAATGGCATCTTAAAATTGAAAGCTATTTTGAGTTCGCTTTTAAAGAACTAAAGATAGCTCTTGGCTTATATTAACATGCCCTCAGATATTAAAAACACAGGTTAAGAACTGCTGATTTACGACTTGGATAAATGGCCACAATGTGGCACAGTGGATAGCTGGTGTCCACAGGGACAAACTTAACAAGTGAAATGAGTCACACAAATGAAAACACAGTCACAAGGGCACGAAGACCCCTGGAAGAAGAGCTATACGGTTCTAACACACCAAGAAAAATCATGAAGTGCATCACGGCCCCTTCAGAGAATCATGCACACATTTACTCCCATGGAGCGATTCCTCTTCCATGGCTTGGTAACACCTCCCTAGGAGGCATGAATATGCTTCCTCAAATACAACAATCTGGCAAGAGAATTCGGTTGAAGAAATGGATGATGAAATGACATGACTGCGTGGAAAATCTGAATCATCAGAAATGAAGGAACCAATTCACTTAGCTATGAACTGAGTTGAGATGCACTACTTACAGTAATGCTCAGGGAGACATTGATTTCACATTTAGATAGTATGTAATATTTTCCCCAGTACTTTGTAGCATAATTTAACAGATCTTATTTAAAACGGAACTCTTCAACTCAATTGATGCTAGTTTTATCTTCAAATCTTTCAATTATACCACAGTCCCCAAAGCATCATATGAAGTAAACTCAATGCAGGCATACTCTAACACAGCTTATACAGCAGAGTCACTTAAGGAAGTACACTGAAATTATTTTTCGTATTTCATAAGGATAAATACAATTTCTCTAAGCATTTGCTCGTGATTTCCTTAGCAAGATTTGTAGGGTTCATAAATTGACTTTGACTTCTTCAGTTTGATTTCATAGCATCCAAGAGGCTTGAGATGTTTTCTCCTGAACAATAGAATACCACTGCAGGCTCTGTACTTAGAAGACAGGCTCGAAAGTTAAAATGAGAAGATTATTTTTCAGGTCAAGAGTACAATTTTAAAAATACTCTCTACTAATCTTTAATGGCATCCAAGAATCCTATGACCTAAAAAGCCAAGAACTGAACTTTATTTTCTGACTTATAAAAACACAATTCCAGCTCCTAACTTGTAATCCACACACGACTCAAAACCTGACTTGAGATCTGAAGCAGAGCCATCAATGGGGAGCAGGCTAGACAGACGCTAACCGAGGCATCTTGGGCCTTCATGTTTCCCTCTTCCTTTGAAGTGGATAAAACAGCTCCGTGAGCCTGAAAGGGACTGGGGAAACGACACAGCCTCTCCACCAAAACAAAGAGACGACTTCAAACTTCTATAATAATGACTTTCAGAAATCACTGCAGCGCAACTTGACCTGCAATTTTTAATTTGATTATCTAATTTCTGACAGACTTTGGGCCCACTTAAACTTTAGGAGTAATTACAGTTTAAGGAAATCCTACCAGTGCTGAGAGGAACACACACACACACACCACACACACACACACACACACACACACACACACACAGTGAGAGAGGGGAAGCGATATTGTTGGGAATGTATATATTTTGTAACTAAAGGGTAAATCTAAATTTTCTTATTGTTTCTAGGTATTCAGATTTTCATATTCTAAATAATTCTTCACAGCAATCCCTTGAGGCAAGTAAAGTTATAGATTTTGTTTTGCAGATAAGGAAATGGAGGCTTTCCCAAAGTTAACATATCAAAAGAGTTATAGCTTGGACTAGTGGAATCAGTACCCAGGCGGTTAGGTTCCATTTCTGACATGTTTAAAGAGTATGGTATATATGCCACCTTCCAAAATGGGAGAATTAAAATCAACTCCCTTTTTACTTTCCCAAGGTGACCCTGTAACGGTCAGCCTATCTCCTACCTACTTGTCATGAGCTGTCAAAATGAGGCAGTCATCTCTAAAGTCAGCAGTACGACACATTTAGAAGGGACAGGAAATGGGAACACCTTTCATTTATGATACATTGCACTATATTAAAGACAATGTACTTCACTTGGTACTTAGATGGCATGCTGTTGACACAGATCAGAAGACATGCCACATTGAACCTGTTCTTCTTTTCAACAAGAATGTCCTTAGCATAGTGGAAGCAAAGCTCAGCAGCCAAGGATTGCAGTTTCTTTTTAAAATGTGTTTGTGTGTGTGTGTGTGTGTGTGTGTGTGTGTGTGTGTGTGTGTGTGTGCAATCTCTTCTTTCCTGGTCTTCCTTTGTCTGACGCGGGGCTTTCTGTTGTTCATTACTGTACATGCTAAGCTAGCTGGACTGCATATTGTAAGAATGCTCCTGTCTCTGCCTCCCCACAGGCAAGCTCGGATTGCAGATATAAGCTACTGCATCCCACTCTGGTCCTCATGCTTGCAGGACAAACACTTTATCCACAGAACCATCTCCCCTGGCCTGAATGATGGTTTTCATGGACAGATTCCAAATCTTCATGTCGGGAGTTGAGGAAACTGGGGGAGCTCCACCTAGAATTTACAAGAGTGAATTCTTATGAGTGGCCATAAGACAGAATTTGTGTTCACACCACTTCCTTGATGTGCCTGCAAGAACATATTGCCATCTCTAACTAGAAAGCTTGGCCCAGACTTACTTTGTTAGCAGTGGAACCTTAATAGTTCATCTCTCATGTCTGGGGATCAAAGGGATTCAGTCCCGGTAGAGATACCAAAGATCCCAGAACCTGTGCAAATCCACATCTTAAGGGCACAGCCAACTGGAGTACACTATTCGCCTAAGGTCCTACTCAGCATTGCAGGTTATTTATTATCTGCTCTCACACAGATGCCTCTGTACAGTGACAATAACCACGCTCTTGTATTTTCAGTTCATTTGAAGCTTAAAGTCAAAATAGAAAAGGAAGTTGCTGGAAAACCCTGGAAAGGCTAAAAGGATTTTAATAAACCATGTCATGTTTAAAATTCCTAAAAATGCAAGTATCTTTTCAAAATTACCCCCATTAGTAATCACATTCTTACTGACTACAAGTCCATCCTATATTTCACAAAACATTTTATTATTTCCTTATTGGGCAAAGGTTATTCTTAAACCCGTGGTCAGATTAGAAGGTTGGGCAGATGGTACTTTCAATTCAAATGGATTTTTATGCCATTAAAAGGAACGTTTGCTCTGCCTAAGCAGAGTATTGACTCTAAGAGTCACAGGCTCCAGGCCATTTCCTGTGGGGTTTTCTTCCACCACCCTTTCAATTAGTCAGTCCAAGTGATGGTTCTCTAAACATGGTCATTTATTTCTCTCTGGAGGGTTGCCTTCTACCCCAACCAAGAAAGCTGATCATGCAAACTAGAGAAGGCTCTCTATACTCCCGCACCCCCAGCACAATATTTAGGATTAATCACAGTTCCTCAATGAGTGACAGAAGAAAAATACACTGTTTCCTTGTTCATCTCACACAGAAAACCATTTGTTGCAGTTTGAGTCGGAGCCAACTTCCATTGTTTAGACAACAATTAGTCAAATTATACCAATCACTAGTAATAATAACAGAAATTATATAATTGTAATTTAGACCAACGACCTTGGACTTATGAAAAATAGAAGTTGGGGTATTGCATTGCATAATACATTATTACAGTTCTATACTGCTAAACTCAAGGCTTTTGTATTAGTTGATTAACTTACAATACCCTTGACCTAAATATCTCTGAAAGCAACAAAACTATGCTAAGCTCCACAAAATGCTCGAGTGGCACTTTATTTGAAATGTGTCAGTCCATCGTTAAAATAAAACAAGACGGCCATGTAAACAACAACGTTAGCTATTTCACAAACACAGACTGACTTTGCAGAAAACATTTCAACTGCATCGTTTCTGAGAATTGGCCCTCGTTCAAATTATTGACTGATTACAGCAAATCAACATCGGGAGAAATGCTGAAACTGTGGTACACCCACTGTCGGTGAAGTTCACTGTAAGTAACAAAATGGGCTGTGCATACAAAAACCAACCTCAGGCTGCCTGCTTCACATCAACAGAACGAGGAATAAAAGCCTCTTCCAGCGCGGTAGGCAAATTTCCCCTTTAATAAGCAGCCAGGAAAAAGCAATATTTCAGTGTTTGCTCTCCTTCCTCCGAGGGAGAAGGTTTCACTAGGACTTATTTGACTTCCTTTTTACTCTGTCCTATTTTCTTGGCTCTCACAGTCAGCTCCAGTAGCAACACGACAATACCACTTTGCACTTGCCCAAAGCGCCTTTTCTCTCAAAGTCTCAGCTGTGGTCTATGCGAGGAGAGTATAAAACAGGGTGAACAATGCAAACATCTAAGTTCATCCTCTCATACAAATGTTTGAGAGACCTAGAATCATATTAACCCAATGCACGGCATGGAGGATCCCTGCCGGCCCCCCTAACCCCGACTCCGGCCCACTGAAAACCCTAACGAATGAGCAAACAAAGTCTCCAGAAAAAAAAAATGTTTAGTAGCCATGAGGCCTCTGGTAAGATTGGCCATTATCTTTACTGTGTCCCACATATAAAACAGAGCATGCCTTCATGAAGATGTGAAGAGTACTCAGCCTGAACCACCTAAAGCAAAACTGGGCAGAAGGTAGGGGATCCAGACTTTCAGAATTCTAAAATTAAGTCTGAAGTGGGTACCTAGAAAATACTCATGTTTCTGGAATAGGGAACATTTTATTTTTAATTTTAAAAGTGAAAAGGCTTACTTGTTTAGGGAAGACACATCTCAAAATTAAAATGTTTTAGAAAATAAAACTTAGCAAAAGATTGTCAATGCTCTCTCTATCTCTAGCCCCACAAATCTTGCTCTCTGATGTAGGTTTAGGGTTATCATATGGCAGAGCATTAGACACCCTCAGGACTCTTTCTCTCTACCCTTGGCATCGATAATGGCCTTTAAACATAAAAGAGTTTTCCCTTCGCATTCTGTCAAAGAAGCAACTAATTTTTTTCAGGGTTTATCAGCTAATTAGAAGAGCTGGTTTGTGTGGGCTAAAAATTTCTCATCTCTCAGCCCAAATTTGGAATCTATTTTGAACTTGAAATAAAATACACATAATACTTGTCTACTCCTACACCAAAAGAAACGGAGAAGAGAAAAATCTACTGAAGTACACAAAAACATCTTTTCTTATCTTTAGTTTTTACTTATTTATGTGTGTCTGTTTGTGTGTGTGTGTGTGTGTGTGTGTGTGTGTGTGTGTGTGTGTGTGTGCGCCACATGTGTATGGGTACCTATGGGGGCCAGAACGGTTTGATAGGTACCCTAGAACTGAAGTTGCAGGCAGTTGGGAGCTGCCCAACACTGGTGTTGTAAACTCCGGTCCTATGGAAGAGCAACAAGTGCTCTAAACCACTGAGCCATCTCTCCAGCCTCATGAACTTTTATTATAAGCATCTATTTCTTCTAGATTTAAGAAAATAAGAATTTTCAAAAAAGATTACCAATCTTTGTGTGTGTGTGTGTGTGAGAGAGAGAGAGAGAGAGAGAGACAGAGAGACAGAGAGACAGAGAGACAGAGAGACAGAGAGAGTGTGTATTACTGTCTTATTTTATTTAAACACACACAACAAATCAAATACAACACATATAAGAGGATAGTATATCATGGCAAGGTAAGACGTATCCTAGGAATGCAAGGCTGGTTCAATACTGGAAAATCTATCGATGTAACACACATGATCATCTCGATATCTATACATGATGCTTTTAGTAAGCCAAAAATAATAATAAATAAAAAATGGCTTCAGGCAATAAAGTGTGTCTACACTAGACCTTCAGCTAGTATCACAGTAAATGCGGAAAGAGCAAATGTCTTCTCCCTGTAAGCAAGAATAAGATAAGGATGTCCGCTTTCACTGCTCCACTCGGCATCTACGGAAGGTCTTAGCAAACGCAGAACAGCAGAAAACAGAAACGCAGACAAGCAGGAAGCGGGCAGAATGTTCTCTGTTTGAAGATAAATGAAGGTATCTGAGGTATCAACAACATTAGTTATTAGGGAAATGCAAATTAAAAATAGAGTGACATACATCTCCACACTTACTACAGTAGCGGAAAGCATGGATAAGGTGTGGTGTGTGTATGTTGGTATGTGGAACAACAGAACTCTGTTGGTGGTGGTGGTGGAAATAAATATTGATGGAGCCACTCTGGAAACAGCTTATGGTTTGTTTGGTTGTTTTTTTTTTTTTTTTTTAATAAAGTTAACTATGTATTTTGCAATCCTGTTTCTAGATACTACCCGAGAGAAATGAAAACTCATTTCCATACAAAACATTTATTTTACTGTTTTAAGGCTTTTTCTTAGTTAAAAACAAATTGGAGAGACAACACAGTGCTTTTCTTTGGCATGGAAGCAAACTCTAGTACATCCCAGGAATGAGATTATCACTTAGCAATACAAAGCCATGACCTACTCACTCATGCAGCATCAGGGATGAACTGTAAATGCCTCTTGCTAAGTGAAAGACCCAAAGACTGTACCCCAGGTGAATCACTTACACAACAGCCCAGCAAAGGAAAAAAAAAATCATACCACAGAAGATAGGTGAGTGGTCATCAGGGACCTTGAGGAGGGATTGAAGATAAAGCCAGGGATGGAGATTTTTGACAAAAAATGGAACTGTGTGAATGTCAAAGATCATAGTCTCACAGCCCCAAAGTATGACTTCTCTGTAGGTCAATACTGTACATATAAAGAGTAAGTTGGCATATGGAGATGAAAACATGAAAAACTGGAAGGCTATACACCAACATACCAATGAGGATCATCTCCTTAATGCGTATTTCAGAAGATTAAATTTTCATCCTTGTCTCTCTCTGAGGTTTTAAGATGACCCCTGAGCAGTGTGCATTGCTTTCGTTTCTAAGAGAGGAAGAAAGTCCCATTGCTTCTATCTGTCCACCCGCCCTAGTTAAGACTGGCAGTGCCTCTCAGAGACCTCCCGATTCCAGTCTGGTTTCCCTCTTCTCACCTGGGCCCCCTGTCCTTTGTAACAGTTTCGGCATGGCGGTCCTCATTTAAAGAAGCTGGATTGGTTGATTTCAACGCCCACTCTCTCATTTCTCCAGTCGAGTTCTGACAAAGTGAGATCCAGCCAAGGCAGACCGAGCTGTTATGGCACGTGAACACTGCTAGGTGCGCTGCAGAATCTCCTCTGCAATCGGAGCACAGCAGCTTAGAATGATGAGCTTTCTTCAGCCCTCGACTTAGAGGTGCTCGTGGTCACCAACTAATGAGACCAAAGTTGAGTAAATCCGGAGTCCAAATTCTTAAGCATCTTGGTGGAGTGAGGTGATTAGAAAACATGGTATTGGAAAGAAAGCTAAGTTCTAGGGCCTGGCTTGCTGCTCGTTTGCTGTGTGATCTTGGAAAAATTGCTTACCCTCCCGGAATCTGTTCTTACCCTTTTGACCGTCTAGGGGCCTTCAGTTCCCATCAAAAGGGCTGCCTAATTGTTAAGAAACAGTACCAGGGCTGGGCGGTGGTGGCGCACGCCTTTAATCCCAGCACTTGGGAGGCAGAGGCAGGCGGATCTCTGTGAGTTCGAGGCCAGCCTGGGCTACAGAGGGAGTTCCAGGAAAGGCGCAAAGCTACACAGAGAAACCCTGTCTCGAAAAACCAAAAAAAAAAAAAAAAAAAAAAGAAAAAGAAAAAAGAAAAAGAAACAGTACCAGGCTCTTGCTTCTACCTCATTGCTCTCCTAATCCCTCACCCAAGGAGAGCCTGCCTTTTCTTTGTACTTTTTCTTTTTCTATCCAATAAGATTCAGCCTAAGACGCTGGATCCAAAGCAATACTGTTTTATACACCCCTAGAGTTAGGTGGTCATTACTGACTTTATGAACATTAATTTCTACCCTCAATCAAAACGTATGGCTATTTACAATTTAATTATCATTTGTTTTATTGGGTTTGTTCGTTTGTTGAGACATGGTCTAACTTTGCAGCTCAGACTCATCTCAAACTTGTGGCAATCCTCCTGCTCCAGCCTCCCAAGTGGTAGGAATATCAGCATGCACCATCATCTGATTATTTCTCATGATTATTTCTAAATGTAATTGAATAGGATGAAGTAAAGTTTAAAATTATGTTTTTTTTTCATTTACACTAGCCACACTTCAATGTTAGTCAGCACCAATACAGACTGTGTCCTTTACCTTCAATGTTCTCTTCTAACATGTAAACCCCCAGAGGTTCTGGGAGCCCAGCAGTGCCTAACAGTGACTGCAGAGGAGAAACTCAGGTAGTGCTGTGTTTTGCTTCCAATATTCATAATTTAGTGAGAAAAAATAACACAAGCCTAAGCTATGAAATACTAATTAAATCATTAATGCAATTTTAACTTTAGTTGCAAAAGATCAAATTTCTAAACAGCCAAACCATTTCCCCCTTCCCAAAAAAGAGAAACAAAATCATCATTCTGCCAGTGATATCTTCGGTTAGGAGCTGAAGTCTTCTGTGACACATGTAATTATACAGGCTCTTAGATGTGGAGAGGCCTATGTGAAATACGCTTCTGCAAAACCTTCCTTAAAATAAATCTGCTAATAAGATTTCAATGTGCCTGGCCAACATTGCCCCGGCAACCTGCAGCATTTCAATAGAAGGGAAATGAATATGTTTACCTTATGACAGAGGTGACTAACTAAGGCCAAGTGATTTAGCCAAGGTCACCTTTCAGCATCACTACTGGATGCATTTGCCCTTGGACACCTGAGCCCCTGTGCCAGCCTCTCTTCATGAAATGCTGGAGCTCCAAATCACGCCTATACCCCTAGGACATTTTATACCCGCTAATGACACCACTTATTCTGAGTGCCTACAATTTGTAAGCTCTCTGCAAGAGCAGAAGCCGAGGCCAGTGAAACCCCCAACTCTGTCGCATAAACAGCTCTGTGACAGTTGAGTCGCTGCACAGAGGAAAGGACACACACACACACACACACACACACACACACACACACACCCCAGGCCAAGTTTCTGTCATTCCACTAACACTGCTACCGGCAAGTATGTTGTTAAGAAATGACAGAAAAATGGTAAATCTGCATTACTACACCCGCCCCCACCATATGCTAAAAGCTTTCTCCAAATGATAATACACACAAAAAAATCCATATCTCAGACAGAAGGATGGGTTGGGGAAGTGGCTTCGGGCACATGATGATTGAGATGCTCGTACAAGATAAATTGCTTTTTGATAATTAGATTTGAGGCGATTTTTTTTTTGGTCTTCTGATGCCATTGTTTAGTATAATTCAGAAAAGACATAAAATTCCAAGGAGACAAATGTCTTCTTTACATGCTCAATCTCTTTACGATTGTATCCAAGACAATTCAACAAGAAATTTCATGAAATTTATTTGATAGGCTTATTTGCCAAATATTTTCAATATTCAAATGGTTCATTTTTAAAAAACCAAACTGTAACGAAGACTTGAAAGTTAGTCCAGAGTACATCATCATTAACATTCTAAGGGACAGGAAGGGGGATAGATATGCATTTCAGCAAATGGAATTAGGAAAATGAGCCTGATTTCATGTTTTAAGTATTCCCAGATAGATCCTAGAATCGTAGCATACATAATTGGCCCCAATTGTTAAAACTGAGAAGTTTAACAAGGCACAAGATTAAAGTGCATGTACACTACGCTAACCTCTCTCTCCTTCATTAACAACTATTAAAAATGCTTTCTGCTGCCCCTGTACTTCATATTCAAGACAGTTTCTTCACTAACAGCCTTCCCTTATTGCAGCCAATTGGCTTGACTGTGGCTCTTTAGGCTGACATTCTGATAAACTAGGACTCCAGGTCCATTGAGAACAGCGGGAGAGTAATCTGCAGCCAACACTCACTTTTTAAGGGAGAAGCAGAGGACTAAGAGAATCGGGAAATCAACAGTTCCAACGAAAACTTATGGCAGCTTCTTTGCTGTGGTCCACGTGGAAACCCACTCCATCTGCAGCCCTGGGAGGTACGGTGAATCTTTTCATTAAAGATATTTGGATGAGCCGGGCGGTGGTGGCGCACACCTTTAATCCCAGCACTCGGGAGGCAGAGCCAGGCAGATCTTTGTGAGTTCGAAACCAGCCTGGTCTACAGAGCGAGATCCAGGAAAGGCTCAAAACTACACAAAGAAACCCTGTCTCGGAAAAAAAAAAAAAAAAAAAAGGTATTTGGAAGAGAAGGGAGGATAAAGACTCTGAGGGACACAGAGTATGAGAAACAGATGCAGGGAAAGGAAAAGACGGACAGTGAGGAGTGAGCGACCACAAAGAGCACAGATGGATGACCTGGAGAGGGAGTAGAGAGAGAAGTAAGACACCCTTCAGTAGAGCTAGTTTATGGTGGGATTTGAATAAAAGAATCTATTTGCAAGTTCAAGCAAGAGTAAAACGCAGGTGACGCTCAGTGGGCACTGGCTTGCTCAGCAGCCCAGTTGCTTTTTTGTAAAAAACAAACAAACAAAAACTACACCATGGTCCTTGCTCTGGGGCTGTCTTCTGAGAAACATCCAACCTTGGAGTTTTCACTCACACCATTCCTGTGACACTCCTCTCCAAACATGATGGGTACTAATTGTAATCTCCAAACTCTTCAGCTCATGAAGTTACCGTTCATTTGAAACTCATCTGTTGCTACCATCCCATAACGCAGTGGCCCACATTACTCCAGGAGCCTGGCTTCTCCTCAGTTGCTGCAGATCATTGCTTCAGACGCTTGCTTTAGTCAAGGCATCCTCGACCCCTACGAAGCAGGAGGTAGAGATATTGTAAAGGTGACGGAGTCTGGGGAAACGGCAATACAGTTGTTCAGCCAGACAGTTGATGACGTTGGCTTGGCATTCCATTAGCATATAGGAAGTAGTCCGGCCATCTCTGTGTTAATGTGCAAGCCATTAACTTGCATGTACACTATGCTATATCGGCCATTCTCTGTGCATGCATCAGAATCATCTGGAGTGGCATGTACTGAAACACAGCGCTGAACCCTTCCCAGAGTTTCCAACTCAGTATGTCAGGGGACACACCATAAAAATCATTGCTATAAGCAATACCAGGTATTTAAGAAGGGGAGGCTGCAGAGAGCCCCCCCCCCCGTGTGTGTGTGTGTGTGTGTGTGTGTGTGTGTGTGTGTGTGTGTGTGTGTCTGTCTGTCTGCCTGTCTGTCGTCTGTCTGTGTCTGTGTGTATTAGATTAGTAAATGCAAAGAAGAAAGAAATGACCTCTGCTTGGTTAGCCCAGCCCTTTTGAAACTTGAATGTGCAGATTCAAAGTGACAGGCCTGGGATGGGTTCTTTAATTCTACATTTCTAGCAAGCTCTCGGGCCACGGTGCTGACCCTAGAGTCACACTGACTTTCGCTGTCCTGATATAAGTAGGGCAGTGTTTCTACAGGCATACCTTAAGTACTATCAGTATTAAAATCCTTGTGCTGTTTGGGAGAGTGGGGGGATTCCTGGTCTACCAGAAACTTTGGAGGTGGGACACATGGTCTTCATGTCAAAAAGAGTTTCTTGAGCTCCTATCTAGATTTAGGACATAGGTCTGGCTGTTGAATGTGACAAGTGTTTAGGGACCAGCCCTTCTAGTCACTGACTGTTGGTTATTATGTCTTCATTTTACTGTTTGCTGTTGTTCAGCGCCCTACAGACCCACATTGGAATGCCAAAATGTTGGTGTTGCTCTTTGGAGGGGGGACCCACCACCCAGCTCCCAAATAAATCACACACGGAGGCTTATTCTTAATTATAAATGTTCTGCCTTAGCTTGGCTTGTTTCTTGCCAGCTTTTCTTAGCTTTAAATTATCCCATCTACCTTTTGCCTCTGGGCTTTTATCTTTCTCTATTCCTGTACACCTTTTCTTTCCTTCTTACTCCATGTCTGACTGTGTGTCTGGGTATCTGGGTAGCTGTGTTTCTGAGTGTCTGGGTGTCTGTGTGTCTGTGTGTCTGGGTGTCTGGGTGTCCGGCCCCTGAAGTCCTCTTTCCTTCTCTCTCATTTCTTGATCTTTCTTTTTTCCCCCAGATTTCTCCTTCTATTTATTCTCTCTGCCTGCCAGCCCCACCTAGCCTTTCTCCTGCCTCACTATTGGCCATTCAGTGCCTTATTAAACCATCAGGTGTTTTAGACAGGCAAGTAACACAGCTTCACAGAGTTAAACAAATAAAACATAAAAGAATGCAACAACCTTTGCATCATCGAAAAAAGTTCCACAGCAAAAACAAACGTAATACATCTTAAAATAATATTCTACAACAGTTTGTCTTTTGTTAGCCATTGATGACATCATCAGAAAAGATAAGAGGATCTTAAAATATGAGGTAAAACTTTTAATGATCTATGTTGTTCTGTATTAGCAAAAATCTCCATAGAGAAAAAAAACTGGAAACTAGACCATCTGTTAAATTTTTCACAAATTTAAATTATTTGCATTCTTACCTATTCTGTTTTTATAGGCAACCACAAATTGTTGTCTAGACTTCTTTTGTTAGTAGTAAGTGAAAAATGTTTTTGTGATGATTACTTAATATGTTGCTAAATCCAGAAGATAGAAGTGGTCTGCCAGAAAATGCCATATTGAAGTTTCCTAAACACTACAGAAAATAGAAATTATTTACAGCTAGTATTCAACATTGGCAAACAAGTCATGCTATTAAAGATGGATTTGCATATGTTATATTAAGAGGCATGCAAATGTATGTGCAAAACTAGGCATAATTAATCATTTCTACCAACGATAAATATCCCACTGCCCAGTTTTGCCAATCCCCATTCCCTTTCTTTTGGGCATGAATGTACATTTCTAATCCCCTAGGAGCTCAGCATATGTTCAGTAGATGTCTCTTCACCCCAAAATTGTGTGCTAACACCTACGCTTGAAGGACTGAACCACTTGGAGAATATTTTAGGTTCTCATCCAAAGACCAAGAAAATCAAAGTTTAAACAGCATCAAATATAAACAGTTGTTGCTTATCTTTGGGCTTCCCATCAGGACCACCCAGAGAGCTTGCTAAGGGTTCAGTCCCCAGCCACTTCAAGATTCAGATTCAGTGAGTCTTGAGTGCCCAGGAAATGTAACTTTCTGAGAAGGCCTATATCGTCCCCAAGAGCAGCCTGGGCTCAGCACTACTTGCACAGACTTTGGGCAAAGTATGGGAAGTAACAATACTATTGCTGCTATTTAGTTAATATTAGTATTCTTACGTGGCAGACATTTTACTACACACTTCCCATGTCATCACAGTAACTACCCACTTCGTAGATAAAGAAGCTAAGACCCAGAGAAGTAGCATATCAGTGTTGGGCTTTATCACTGAGTAATGTGAGGGTCATTTAAGAAGATAGGCAAGTCATTCAAGTCATTTGAAGGTGAGGGCCGTTGGACTAGCCGCTGGGTCACAGGTCAGCCTCCTTCAAGTTTTAATGTTTACCAGCGGAACTGAATTGAACTGAGACGAAGTTTTTAGTTCTGCGGGTCAAGATGCATTGGGACACTTCTTTCTCCACCTACCTATTTGTGATCAAAACCACCACTTCACCTATGGCTCCCTATTTCCCACAGAGAAAAATCTCCTTTACAGCCATCTCTAATCTCCCTTCCATGCTTCCTGCCCAGCCTTCCTTCAAAGCAAAGCCTTGAGTTACTCTGTGCTCTTGCACATGGAGTTCTTACTGACCCAGTGTCTGGCTCTCCTTGGACATGCAATAGACATCCTTCTTTTCTTGGTCAGAGAGAATTTGTTCTTTTAAGAGAGTGTTTTATTCAGTATGCCAAACACTCAAGAAGCTTGACTGAGGTGACATGGCAACTGGGCTTATGACATATTCCAAAAAGGGATAGGAATTGCTTTCATTTTGGAGAGATTTTTTTGTACATATATATGTATGCATGTGTTATATATATATGTGTGTATGTATTATATATTATAAATATGTTTGATTGTTCTTTCATATCCAGCCGCCCAATCCTCTCTCAATCACCCACTCATTGATTTGCATGTAGGTCAAGTTATAGATTCCAAGACCCCAAACTTAAATTGTCTATATTCACCACATAATCAACTGTTAATATTTTGTTACAATGCTATTAACTGTTTTTATAGTAAATCTATTGAAGTAAGTCTTTTGCTGTTCCGTTCATTTCTAGCTCTGCCTCTGAAATATTGGTTCAAAACCTTTTTTTTCCCAAAGAAATAGGTAAGAAAGTAGCAAGGAATGACAGCTGTGGAAAATGGACACAAGGACAAGAATGTTAAATTTGATTAGGGCAGCTACCGGCATAATAAAAGAGACAGAGCTGACATTGTGCTTTGGTTAAAAGATAATGATGAAGGCCAAGCTCTTCAACTGGCCCCACGCCCGGCACTGCCTTTGTACCAAGCCCAGGGAAGCAGTCAAATGGCATGTAACCAACATGACCTGTAAACAAGGGGTCACAGCAAGGCCACTGGAGTCAACCACATCATAGTGTTGTAGCAGTGAGGGAAAAAATATAGTAGACTTCTAAAAGGGGTTCTGTGCCCTTGGATAGCAAAAAAAACCAGTCTGCATAAAGGGGAATTTTCCCCTAAGTCTGAGTCCTCTTTTCATAAGGCATTTGTTGCTTGGCAACATGGGGCAGTTTTCACCGATGTCCTAAGGACTTCTCAGGCATCTTTGCATCTACACTTCTAGCCTTCCCTTCCTTAACTACCACACTGTGGTTTGCTAGGATATTATCTGTCACACACGCTAAAGTGAAAGCTCTGTGAGGACAAGGTGTAACTCACTGTGTGGCCCAAAGGCCTCCTTGATGGCATGGATAGAACACCATATAAGTTGGACGAATTGATGAAGGGGGAAATTAGTCACTTATACTATCATAGGTAGTTCCTATTAATGACACTCATTTTTTTTTTTAATGTGAAGTGTTTGTTTTGGTTAACCTGATGATAATGTGGGCTGCCTCAGACTGAAGGGGTGTGTGTGTGTGTGTGTGTGTGTGTGTGTGTGTGTGTTTTCACTCTGAAAGTGGGGAGGGTGATTTTGTTAGCCTGATGGTAATGAAGCAGAAAAGAGGTCTACATAGGATGCCCAGATGGACCGCATCTCCTGTAAAAGAGAAAGCATCAGACCTTCCTATCCCCATCATTGCTAAGAGTGGTCCTGAGCCTGACCAACTGCAGCAGGACAGGCGGATGCTTCCCCTGTCACTGTTTGTGCCCATCTTCCTGACTTTGTATGACTATGCAAAGATTCTTGGGTAGCAAATGATCCTGTTCCAGAGAGTTACAGCTTCAACATTTTCGTCCTCCCTCTCAACCAGGGCCTGGGAATCTGCAATCAATAATTTCAAAGACTAAATGAGATGGCCCATTCTTTCCAATGTGTTTTTCTATCTCACTACACACACACACACACACACACACACACACACACACACACACACACCCTGCCATTTTCTTTTTGCAATCATCTGCAATTAGTTTTCCTATTTAGAACAGAAGATACAGTCTTTTGATCACCTATTTGAATACTGTATAATTAATTCCACATTTGATGAAACCTAGGTTATTGAAAATGGTTGGGCACAGATTACCCTATTTTCTTACAGGGAGGCAGGATTAGTGGAGAGTCCCAGAAACGTTAGGAACTTTCAACATTTTCCCAGTGAAGTTTCTAACATGTCAGTCACCTTTCCTCAGATATTTAGGGTACACAGTCTTTGCCGCTGCCTTATTAAAGAAGAAGGACATAGGAAGAATAAAAGACATACAAATAGTCAGTGAGTATGTGAAAAAATGGTCAGCATCACCTACCACCAGGCAAATGCCAACCAAACACAGTGAGGTATCACCTCACTCAGGAATAGATTGCAAGTGCTGGCAAGAACATAAACCTCTTACACACTGTTGATGAGAATGTAAATGAATCCAGACAACTATGGAAAACAGTGTGGAGGTGGCTTAAAAACCAAAACCAGAACTGACACATGCAAACCACCCCACTGCTGGGTAAATATATGGAAGAAACAAAACCATTATGAGGAATATAATTTAGTTCAGCACTATAACCAAGATACAGAATAAACCAAGATGCTCACTGATGGATGAATAAATAAAGAAAATGTGACAGGTATATGAAAGGTACTTTTCAGCCATAGAAGTGTGGAATTCTGTTATCAGTAGCAACATGGATGGCATTGATGGTGCTGAGTGAGCTAAACCAGGCACAAAAAGTCAAATACCGAAACATCAATCTCATAGAAGAAGAGAGTGGAACCATGGCCATAGGAACTAAGAAGAGTGGAGATGTGGGGTACTGAAAGAGGATACCTAATGGGTATCAAAGTTTGGTTAGATAGCAGGAAGCAGTCCTGGTCTTCCATAATAATAGTGTTTCTATAATCCACAACGACTAATGGCATATTTCAAAATAACTAGAAAAGAATAATCAGAAACTTTCTGAGAGAAATTACAAATGTATGTAAATCAATAGATGCCCCAACTAGGTATCTTTTTCCAACAAGTGAAATCTCCAGAGCTTGGAATGGGTTATATCTAATTGAGTTGTTGGCTAAAGGGAGTCCCATGGAAACCCCAAACATCTCAGGCTATTTGCCAAGGCTAATGGTTGCTTCCAACAAACCAACAGTAAGGTCCGACCGTTGAAGACAATACTTAAATATCTCACTGAACATGGAGAAGTCAAGCTGGCATCTAATTAGAACCTTCAGCCCTACTGACTCGTGTTCATGGTACTGGAAGGTACTCTACACACTGCCAAAGGAGCAAGGCAAACCTCAACCCAGCTACAATCCTGGCAATCTTTACTGGTGATCTGCCTGCATGGTAATCTGGTATAATAGTGGCACAAATGTTGTGAGAGTAACCAGTCATATCTGATTGGATTCAAAACCCACTCCATGAAATGGAGCCCATGCCTGAAACTGCTTGCGTGGCTAAGAATCTGAGATTAGATAGGTTATGGGCCTACAGGAAAATCAAACACATAGCAAAAAAAAAAAAAAAAGTTTCCTAACAACAGTCTACTATACCCATAGATCAGTATCTCATTCAGCCATCATCAGAGAGGCTTCCTTCTGCAGTAGGTGGGAACTAATACAGAGACCCACAACTGGACAACGGGTAGAGAGTGAGAGACTTTGGGATATCCAGTCCTAAATGGGATTTCTTCATCACATTCCTCCCCTCAGGGCTCAGGGAACTATGTGGAAGAAGTAGCAAGAGCCAGAGAGGATAGATGTCACCAAGGAAACCTTGTCTTCCACACCCCACAGGACGGACACACGTGAACTCACAGAGACCGTGGCGACATGCACAGGGCCTACGCACATCCAAGCCAGATGGGGTCCCAGCACTGAGAGGGGGAAACGGACATGATCTCCCATCCCCAACCAAGAAGCTATCCTCAACGAACAACCATTTGCAAAGGAAAATTAATCTTCTTCATTGGATTTTCACTGGGTATACAAGCCACACTGAAGGCGAGGTCCCGTGCCCAGCAGCAGATGGACAATACAAAGAAAGCAAGTGTATTTTGTACAGTGGTGTTTTGTACATTCCTTGCCTCAGACTGCTTTGTTTGTTTGTTTGTTTGTTTGTTTAATCTTACTGGTCTTTTGCTTATATATTATGGTTTCCAACTTGCTTTTTTATGTTTTTTGGGTGTGTGTGTGTGTGTGTGTGTGTGTGTGTGTGTGTGTGTGTGTGTGTTGTGTTTCTTGTGATTTTTTTTCTAATTCCTTTTCTGACCCTGCTTGTTTTCTAAAGAGAGAGAAGGCATGGAGTTGGATGAGTGAAGAGGTGGGGAGGTTGTGGTAGGAGAGGGGGAGGGGAAACTGTGATCAGAATAGATTGTATGAAAAATTATTTTCAATAAAAAATGACAAATGTTCGAGGAAAAAGTGCTCATAACTCTGATATGAGGTGGTGTATGTATGACAATACCATATATGCGATATGGAAATGATATATATGTATATTATGTATCAACAAAACACATACAATGAAGTAGGAATATAAATACCAAGGTCCTTACTGCAGCTTCAATTTTGCATTATGTGTAAGAGATTGTAATTAATGACTGTTGAAAAATATTCAAGAAAATGTACACTGTGAGCAGTCAGTAAGTTAACACTCCCTTTCACTCTTCTAGTGCCATTCCTTTACCAAACTCACGCAAACTAGCTGAAAGTCAGTCCGTGAAAATGAAGGGAAAAATCACGTGTGTGCACATGTGTGTGTGCGCACATGTGTGTGTGCTGTCTTCACCTGTGGAGGTTTAGAAATTATAACCCCTCCACGTTTCCTTAGGTCAGGAAGCTTTACGGTCAGGTCGAGTCTAGACTGAGTTTAAAGTTGGGGGCGGGGCTGTGGCTTTCACTAGCCAAAGAAAAAAAGAGGCAAAGCACTTAAGAAAATCACTATCTACATTTAAATAGTTGAGACCTTCAAAGGATATTTTCACTCTCGACCATTCAACAATCCTGACCGTTTCAACATTATATATGCAGAAAGTATAATCCTCCTTTCCCACTTTATTATGTCTGATGGTGGTATCACAGACCACAGGATCATCAAAGTTGGAACTTAAGTCTTTTTCTTCAAAGAACTTCAAGATGAAATATATTCTTTTTAAAATCAGCTTATCACTGACGTCACTCCTTGGAGTATTAAAGTTGCAAGAACTTCCACAAGCATCATCTACTACCTACCGAGGGGAAATTTAATTAGTGTGGTAAAGAGGGAGTAACAGTATAAGACTACACAGGCCTGTTGAGAGGCACCATGGGCAAGTCATATGTGGTACTTGGCGGTACCGTTGCCTTTCAATCATTCCACTTCTGAGTCTCACCTGGTATAAGTGAAATCTTTTGCAGCTGCCTGTCTCATTACAGCCAGAAGGTCTTTTCTTCAAACTATTTAGTACACCGAGTCTCAAGCTGGTAATTTGGAGAGCATTAACCTTCAAAGTTGTGGAAGAGAGAAAAGAACACAGTGGTAGAGGCCATATTGGTTACATTGGTTACAGCCTCTAGTTTTTACATGGACCTGTGATGAGATATGTAATGAGCCCCGGGGTACTGGTTAACTGCATTCTGTTCAGATGATGTCAAAGACATTGTAAAGGTGGAGCGGGGGACTCTTAATGTTTCCCAGGCTGGTCTCCAACTTCTAGGGTCAAGTGGTCCTCCTTGTCTTAGCCTCTTGAGTGCTAGGACTACAGGTGCATGCCGCCACACTCAGCTCAAAAACATTTGAAAGCAGATTTCAACACAAGTAGAGTTCAGCTCTGGCATTTCTACCTGCGTGATTCAAAAAGTCACCTCCCTAGTCTCATTATTTATGAAATGGGCTTGATAAAAATGTAGCCTTGTCTCACTAGTTTGGGTTTTTCTCTCCTTCTTTCTACTTTAACCCAGGTAAAAATAAGAACTGTTTCTTTTTTCATGGAGATTATATCCAGTGTAAAGAACAACTTGACATTCATATCATAAGCCAGAACATTTTTATATGTAAGTGAATAAATGAACATCTGAGAAATTCCTAATATAAAACCTAACAATGATTAAAAATAATAGGTACACAATAAATATTAGAATAAAAGATAACCTAGTTCTGTGAGGTATTTCTCAAATGAAGGATCATTTGACAGACATTATCATCATCATAGACATTATAAAGATATTCTTTGGGAGCAGATTTGTATAACTGTTCGCTATCTCCATCTGCTTATATTATTTTACCAACACACCCTTTCTTCCCTCTTATGCCTATTAACATTCTATGTAACCTGTTGTACTATTGAATACACCTTGGGATATAATGGATCAGTTTAGTGTCCCTAGTTTTGAACCTTGTAAGGAAACTGAGGCCCAAATAGTAAGTGGTTTGCTAAAGTCATCTATTACCAGCATTCGTTCCAGAATGAGAGACAAATGTCCCATCTCTCAGACTGCCATCACCCTCCAACATGGAGGCCAGGTGAGTGGATGTGTGGGTAGCACACCGCTGTTCAGTATTAGGAAGTATTATATTGAAATCCCACCTGCATTCTCTAGCATTGCCGTCCGCATCACTGTCCTGGTAGCCCACCTCACATCCTCCCCTTAAAGACAGGAAGGAGAAGGACCCCTGAGCATAGTCTATGAGTTGGATCTGGTTCTCCTGAACAGTCAACCCAGAAGTGCCAGGGGCTTTGGCAAACAGGATAAGAGCTCATGGGATAGAGCTTCCCATCTGTCCTCTCGGGGGTCCTAGTGGGATCTACTCCAGTTGCTTCCATCCACAACGCCATCTACAACTGGACAGCAATACAAACTCCAAATTACCAACTTCCCCTGCCTCCAGGCATGCTGCCTATCCCTAGGTGTGTTACTCTTTTGTTTACTAGTGAAAACATCTGTGTCATTTCTTGTGAGCCCATTAAACAGGTGCTGTGTTTCACACCAAAAGGTGGCTGCATTCCGGCAGGCAGAGGTGTGATGTGGGGAACGACATCTAAATATAAGTTCGACTAGAATGGGAACCTCTAACAGATGAGAGGTGCTGCTAGGCTCGATGTTCCGCTTTCGCTCTCCCCACCCCTGGCGGGTTTTCAAGGATTTGGGGAAAGCATAAGAATAATGTGTTTACAAACACCGCTCTGTGTTTATGACGCCTTCTGGCTTTTCGGTTGTGCTGAATAAAAAGAGGAAGCTTCTCTGGATGTGGGAAGCAGTACCATCTGAGATAGCTCCCACAGTCTTTGAGCAACAGCAGTTCAAGCTGTTGGTCTGGTGTCAGGCTCTAAGTCTTGATGGGAAGAGAGAGGTAGCACAGCTGTATTAGACTGTGGGGACAGACAGACCCCAGTCACGGTTATTTTTCTATTGTTGTGATAAGACACCATGACCAAGGCAACTCATAAAAAGTGTTTATTTGGGGGATCACAGTTTCAGAGTCCATGATGGTCACGGCCAGGAGCATGGCAGCAGGAAGTGATACTGGAGCAGTAGCTGGGAGCTCACATCGTGAGACATAACCACAAATCAGAGAGAGAGAGAGAGAGAGAGAGAGAGGGAGGGAGGGAGGGAGGGAGGGAGGGAGGGAGGGAGGGGGAGGGAGGGAGGGAGAGAGAGAGAGAGAGAGAGAGAGAGAGAGAGAGAGAGAGAGAGAGAGAGAAGAAGAAGAAGAAGGAGGGGGAGGAGGAGAAGGAGGAGGAGGAGGAGGAGGAGGAGGAGGAGGAGGAGGAGGAGGAGAGAATGTGTGTTTTGGAATGGCCCAAGCCCACCCCCAATGGCACACCTCATCCAACAAGGACACACCTTCTAATCCTCCCCAAAGAGTTCCAACAGGGGACCAAGTGCTCAAACATATGAGCCTAAACCTGGGGTCCTTGGCTGAAGTTTGTTGGCCTCTAGCCAGGTTCTGCGTGGTCATTAGAGTTTTTGTTTCTATATAAGTCCAATAGTTTTGCTCCTATGTTCCAAAACCTTCTATAAAGAAGACAAGACACCAGCTTCCACCTGCTGGTCCTGGCTCATCTCCTGGTCACTTCGTGGATGTCTTACCACCACAGGGACCGTCTCCATTCTCGCACACTTTTGTGACCTATAATGTTCTCAGTTGGCATGCTGGTCTCTATCCCTTTAACACCTGGTAAATGTTCACTTACTCTTTGAGGCCATCCCAGTTGGATCTGTGGGAGACTTTCCTGGGATCCGCTGGACTCTGCATCCCATTACCGCCCTTCCTCTGTGCCAAGGTGAAGTCGCCTACCCCATACCAGATTCCCACAGCATGTAAGCAAACCTCCTTTATGGTGTTTATTTTATATCCTAGACATTCTAGAGTCAGTTCCCGGGTGCGGCTGTGAGCCTCGAAAGCAGAGAACTTAGCTATCTTTTATTTTTCCAGAGTACAAGAAAGTGTCTGTCTTACTTAGTACCTACCCAGTACCTGTATGTTAAATGATTGGAATTTTGAACCCTGACTCCACACAGCAGTCTAGATATTGTTTGGGTAGGAGCT